CTTAAGCTTCCAAAGAGCATGGCATCCACGATAGGGAAAAATTAAAGAACCAAAGGACAGTTGAAGTACTGAGGAAGAAACTGTAAAAAAACAACTTAAATAATAATAATAATGGTATGAAGTGATATGGAAAAAGAGCAAATAAAGTTTCAAAACATATAACAGAAACTGAGTTCAGGCTTAGATCTGACGATTTTTTCCCCTGGATGCCACCCAGTTGTCTCAGCATCATATATGGAATAGCCCGTTGCCCTGGTAATAGTGGGGGAAGAGACTTCCAGCCACAGCCAGCAAGGTGAGGCTACACGTGCCCCGCGTTGCGAACTCCTGGCCGCAGCCTTTGCTCTCTGTGTGATACTGTGTGACACTGCCCAGCAGCACTGGCAGCACTGCCCAGCATGTTGAAAACGCAGAAGCGCGGGCCTCAGACCTGCTGAACCCCAATCTGATGGTTAACACAACTCTCTGGAATGCACACGCACACGCATGGTAAAGTCTGAGAAGCGTCCTGCTCCAGGATTCGGTGGCTGAAGGGAGAGCCTGAGGGAGAAGCAGGGAATATATTTTTCAGGATCTCAACTCCCACTACCAACAGATGAATCAATTCCTCACCACTCTTTTCTCACCCTCACCTTCAAAGTCCCTGCAGAGAGTCTGCAGTTTCTAGAATCTTCTGGTGGTGAGAGACGGAGGACAGGAAGGCACCCATAACATCTGTGCTAAATTTTTTTTCTTTCTTTTTGAGTTGTAGCTAAGAGGCTCCAAAACGAGTTAGACTCAACCAAGAACTGGGCTTCAAAACCTTTGCATTATTGAGTACCCACTGGTGTGCCATTTTTTTTCAACACCACTGTTGTACCTTGGTCGCGGGCTCAATCCCATATAGGGATGCAGGAGGCAGCCAATCAATGATTCCTTCTCATCATTGATGTTTCTATCTTTTCCTCTCCCTTCTTCTCTGAAATCAATAAAAATACATTAAAAAATCCCAACAGGCCAAAGCCAGTTTGGCTCAGTGACAGAACATCGGTCTGCGGACTGAAAGATTCCAGGTTCGATTCCCACCAAGGGCATGTACATTGGTTGCGGGCACATCCCCGGTAGGTGGTGTGCAAGAGGCAGCTGGTTGACGTTTCTCTCTCATCGACGTTTCTAGCTCTCTATCTCTTTCCCTTCCTCTCTGTAAAAAAACAATAAAATATATTTTAAAAAAAGAATTTCGTATTCTTACCAACCCACTGAAAGAGGAATTATTAAAAAAAAAAAAAAAAAAAAAATCCCAACAGGGCGCTGTGCCATCATCCTCTCAGCCAAGACCCGATTCCCTTTCCGTGGTAGCAGGGCCAGCAGGGGGCAGCAGGGAGCAGCAAAGGTAGCCACCAACCCTCAAGTGTCTGGGCTTCCCAGCAGATCAGTCACCTTACCCTGTGCTTACCTGGCCTAGGAGGAAACCCAGGTTCTCAGATGGAAAGTTCAAGGTCATCTGGATGTTGGACAGACAGAGCCACTGGATGGTGCCCAATTTCATCCACTCCAAGATGCACATCTTTTTTTATATCTTCATATCTCAGAAACCGAGATATTTTATCCAATGCCAAGAGAAAATAATACTGCTGTTTACATGGCAGCGTCTTTTCTTTTTTCTTTTTTTCTTTTTTCTTTTTAGTTTTTCTCCCTTTCTTGCTTGGGGAATACAACAAATAATGGTCTATCTCACAATACCTTAAATTTGTGGAATACTATTGTATAATAATAAAAGCCTCAGTTTATTGAACCCTGTGCGTGACAGGCATTATTTCCTTTAATCATAATAATATCTCCAGGGTGGAGGTATTATCACCCTTACTTTACAGGTGAGGAAACTGATCAGAGAGAGAGGGGACTAGGCCACATTTGCACACCTAATACAGTAAATAATGCAGCTACTTAACCTCGCCCATTGCTTTTAACAGTATTTTACTTCCACAACAAAGACTCTGGGTCTTGGATAATAACAGGCTTGCTTTATTTTTTTTTCTAATATATTTTATTGATTTTGTACAGAGAGGAAGGGAGAAAGATAGAGAGCTAGAAACATCGATGAAAGAGAGTCATCGATCAGCTGCCTCTTGCACACCCCCTACTGGGGATATGCCCGCAACCAAGGTACATGCCCCTGACTGGAATCGAACCCAGGTCCCTTCAGTCCCCAAGCCGACGCTCTATCCATTGAGCCAAACCGGTCTTGGCATAACAGGCTTGCTTTAAAAATGCTAGTGTCTGCAATGAGGTGGCAGCATGGGCAGTTCCCTGAGGGCCAGTGTACAGGCCCCCTAGGGAGGCTTATGGACTTACTTTAAATTATTGTCAGCTGAGTCCCAGGCAGATCCCAGTCAAGTGTGGAGAGCGGGCTTTGATAAGTAAATCCAGTCTGGCTCTGGGAAGGAGGGAATAAACAGAACCTGGGCCCACCAAGCTCCTTTGATCCTAAGTTTTTCGGTGAAACCCCCTTGTATTTTGGAAGATAAATAAATGGTCTGCCTCGGCTCTGGGTCCACTGTCTCTTCAGCAGAAGAGGGCAGCTGCCCACCTGGGTCCCAGCTTTATTTCTATTTCCTCATCTTGTCTCTTTCTTTCTTTGATTTCTCAATCTACGGACGCCTCTACTCAGAACCGGTTTCATCTCTCTTTCTGTGCTGGATGCAGGAAAGGGAGATCCCGATCACTGCATCTGGCCCCCGCAGGCCAGAACCAGTTAACATCAGACTGGAAGGGTGCAGTGGGACGTGAAATAGAATCCTGGGATTGAAGGGAAGTCTGAGGTCGGGGGGGGGGGGGGGGGGGGGTTGGGAGAGACTGTGGGCAGGGGAGGCAGGAGCCGGGCTCATAGAGGGAAAGAAGAGGGGGCACAATGTTGGCAGATTCGCCTGGGAAACCCCTCCTCTGACATGAGGTCTGGCTCAAAGGGTTGGGAGCATTTCCCTAAATTCAGACCAGCCTGCCCCCCCCCTCCCCCTGAGCATCTCCAGAGGGAGAGGGAAAGAGAGAGGACGAGATGTGAAAAGGAGGAAGTGGGTTCTGTTTACATTTAATTATCGGGAAGTTGGGTGCCTTTCTCTTCCTCTTATTGTCATTTTCCATCTAAATGTTATTAGAATTCATTTCTAGGACAAAAACTGTCCAGTGAGAAGCCTCAGTATCTCCTGCATCTGGAAACCTTTGTCATGTATTGTCGCAGATGACACCCCGGGTGAGGAGGAGGAAGAGGAGGGACTAGCAAAGGAGGAAAGAGATCCAGCAAGGCTCAGTGCCCCACTGTCCCCTCAGTAGAGCAACCAGCTGGCCCTAGCCCTCTGTGCTCTGTGAGGGCACACACTGTCCCTGTATCCCATGAGATCTCCCAGCGACCTTCCTGGGAAAGGCTCAGAGACATTGAATGACCTGCCTAAGTCCTCCCCGGCTAGGAAGTGACACAACTAGCATTGAACCTGAATCTGAGTCTTTGACTTCAAAACCCAAGCTGACCCACTACACCCGGTCCCGGGACTGACAGGCTCTCCAGACACCTGTTCTCTGGCTCAAGGGCTGCTCCCTGCGCCCTCCCTCTACCACTGCAGTGTTTGAGGCTGGGCTGGTATGAAGTCCCTTTAAAAAAAAATTGTATATTCCTCAGCACAGGGGGAGAGATGGAGGACTGAGGAAGAGGTAACTCCAGAGACCTTTGCGGGAGAGGGGTCAGCAGAGGGCCTGATGAAGATGCTGGAGCCCTAGGAAGTATAGGAGAAAAGAAAAAAAAGGGAGAGAGAGAGAGAGAGAGAGAGAGAGAGAGAGAGAGAGAGAGAGAGAAAGAGAGAGAGAGAGAAGCCAGCTGCCTTCAGCATTCTCCCTGGAGCCTGTTTAGACTCAGAGCTAACGGGGGAAGGTACCTGTGCAGGGCCCAGAAAGAAGGTACATGATAGATGGAGGCTTGGGAGGAACACCTCCCTCCTCCCGAGGAAGGAGGTCCTGCCAGTTGTCACGGCAGTGGCCACATTATGAGGTGGTTCTAGTGACAGGCAGTGGGGTGGGGTTGGGGTGAGAGGGGACAGAGGTGGGGGCAGTGGGGGCAGTGGCAGCCCCATCTCCTGCCTGGGGCATTCTGGCACCACCACCCTCATGGGCAGTGCTTACCACTGGGAGGCCCGTCGTAGGCAGAGGAGGCTGCTGATGCAGCGGCAGCAAGAGAAGGTGCCTGAGAGGGGTCGGGCTCCTCCTGGTCCTTCCAGGGTTAGGTCAGCGATGGGAGGGCAGACCCAGCCCTTAGGAAGCTGTCTATCAGCCTGTGAATGTTGTTTTGCTGGGGATAGGAGGAAAGCAAGGTCCTTTGGTGTTCTCTTGGATAAACTCATGTGTGTGTGTGTGTGTGTGTGTGTGTACACACATTGGTGTAACTCAGCTTTGCTGAGGCCTAGCTTTGCTGAGGGAACTCAGGCCAATATATATATTATATATATATATATATATATATATATATATATATATATATATATAGATTCATATATATATATATTGATTCATATATATATATATTATATATATATATATATTGATTTCAGAGAGGAAGGGCAAGGGAGGTAGAAACATCAATGATTAGAGAGAATCATTGATTGGCTGCCATCTGTACGCCTCCTACTGGGAATCAAGCCTGCAACCTGGGCACGTGCCCTTGACCAGAATCGAACCCAGGACCCTCAGTCGGCAGGCCGACCTACCCACTGAGCCAAACCGGCTAGGGCTCTTCTTTATGTGGCTCCTAGGAAGTTTAAAATGACACGTGGCACGTTTTACATTTCTATCGGACAGCGCAGTTTCAAAGCCTTCGCACAAAACTATTCATCCTCCCGGCGCTGCCAACTGTGTTTCAGGGCCCAGCTGCCAGGGTGGGAGGGAGGTGCTGAGTGATGTTTGCTGGGAGGGGCTGGGCCCGGGCGGTGTCACAGAGAAACAATGCTTGGTGCTGTGGCGGGCGGGGGGGGGGGGGGGGGGGGGGCAGCCCGTGCTCCAGCCTCAGCCTCCAGCTCCAGGGAGCAGAGGGCACCTCTCCCCCTGGGTCTGCGCGGCTCGCTCCCTGCGATGGGTGGCATCTGGGTGCGCACGTGGCCGGGAGGAGGCTGTTACTTGCCGGGGGCTTCTTGCCAGGAACAGAAGAAACTCCAAGAAAAGAAATGCCGACCTGAGAAACACACTCAGCCCTCTCAGGCGTCACAGCAGGAGCCAGGACCGTCACAGGCACAAGCGCCAACGCCTAAGCCGCCCCCGCCAAAGCCAGCGGAGCTGCCGCAGCCCCCGCCGCAGCCCCCGCCGCCGCCCCCGCCCCCGCCCCCGCCCCCGCCACCATCACAGCCACAGGCACAGGCACAGCCACAGCCACAGCCACAGCCTCAACCAAGGCAACAAACTGCCCAAGGCCCTCTTCCTCAGTCCTATTCCAGGCACACACTCCAGGATTCCCAAAAGCCTGGTCCCCGGCTTGACCCCAAGGGGACCGATCAAACTAAAGGACAATCCAACTGGCTTACGGATAAACTCCAAGGAAAGCAGAAAATCCCAGACCCTGGTAAGTGCGAGGACGTCTCCCTCCCAACCCCCCGCCCGATGGGCCAGAGTCCACGTTTGTTAGCCACCGACCCACCATCCGTGGCTCTCCCTGGCACCTGGGCCTTTCCCTTGGGGACCACCGGCTCCCAGTGTGTTTGTGCCAACTTGGCACTGCCGGGGGGGGGGGGGCTCCAACGTCTGCAGAGGAGGGCCAAGAAGCTGTCAGCCCTCCCTCCAGGGGAGGGTGACGGAGCGGGGTGAGGGTGGTCAGAGGGTGGGATGTGAGTTGCAGGCTGAGCCGCAGTAACACGGGGCCCTGTGAGGCCTGGAGCAGGGAGTCACACTCCTAGCTGAGAAATCCAAGGGGGGGGGGGGGCGGGACTCAGTGTGTGCCCTGCCCAGGTAGGGGCTGCCACCTGTCTCCCAGTCACACAGTAGGTCTGTCTCTGCCGTATTCTAGCTTCAGAAACGGCCAGAGGAGTACCATGTACTTTGTTTCATCACCAGGTTTCAGGAGACCAGGCCAAGCCTTCCCAGGGAACTACCCCAGCAGGCTACGCTTCACGGTGAGCAGAGGAGCGGCCAGGCAGGCGGTGTGTCTGAGTGTGTGCCAGAGTGTCTGAGTGTGTGTCTGAGTGTGTGCCAGAGTGTCTGAGTGTGTGTCTGAGTGTCTGAGTGTGTGTCTGAGTGTGTGCCTGAGGGTCTGAGTGTGTGCCAGAGTGTCTGAGTGTGTGCCAGAGTGTCTGAGTGTGTGTCTGAGTGTGTGAGTGTGTGTCTGAGTGTCTGAGTGTCTGAGTGTGTGTCTGAGTGTGTGCCAGAGTGTCTGAGTGTGTGTCTGAGTGTGTGCCAGAGTGTCTGAGTGTGTGTCTGAGTGTGTGCCAGAGTGTCTGAGTGTGTGTCTGAGTGTCTGAGTGTGTGTCTGAGTGTGTGCCAGAGTGTCTGAGTGTGTGCCTGAGTGTGTGCCAGAGTGTCTGAGTGTGTGTCTGAGTGTCTGAGTGTCTGAGTGTGTGTCTGAGTGTCTGAGTGTGTGCCAGAGTGTCTGAGTGTGTGTCTGAGTGTGTGAGTGTGTGTCTGAGTGTCTGAGTGTGTGTCTGAGTGTGTGCCAGAGTGTCTGAGTGTGTGTCTGAGTGTGTGCCAGAGTGTCTGAGTGTGTGTCTGAGTGTGTGCCAGAGTGTCTGAGTGTGTGTCTGAGTGTGTGAGTGTGTGTCTGAGTGTGTGCCAGAGTGTCTGAGTGTGTGCCAGAGTGTCTGAGTGTGTGTCTGAGTGTGTGCCAGAGTGTCTGAGTGTGTGCCTGAGTGTCTGAGTGTGTGCCAGAGTGTCTGAGTGTGTGCCTGAGTGTCTGTGTGCCTGAGTGTCTGAGTGTGTGCCTGAGTGTCTGAGTGTGTGTCTGAGTGTGTGTCAGAGTGTCTGAGTGTGTGCCAGAGTGTCTGAGTGTGTGTCTGAGTGTCTGAGTGTGTGCCTGAGTGTCTGAGTGTCTGAGTGTGTGTCAGAGTGTCTGAGTGTGTGTCTGAGTGTCTGAGTGTGTGCCAGAGTGTCTGAGTGTGTGTCTGAGTGTCTGAGTGTGTGCCAGAGTGTCTGAGTGTGTGTCTGAGTGTGTGCCAGAGTGTCTGAGTGTGTGTCTGAGTGTGTGCCAGAGTGTCTGAGTGTGTGTGAGTGTGTGCCAGAGTGTTTGAGTGTGTGCCTGAGTGTCTGAGTGTGTGTCTGAGTGTGTGCCAGAGTGTCTGAGTGTGTGCCAGAGTGTCTGAGTGTGTGTCTGAGTGTCTGAGTGTGTGTCAGAGTGTCTGAGTGTGTGTCTGAGTGTGTGAGTGTGTGTCTGAGTGTGTGAGTGTGTGTCTGAGTGTGTGCCAGAGTGTCTGAGTGTGTGTCTGAGTGTCTGAGTGTGTGACCGGGGCATGTGAGGGTGGAGCTAGAGGGCGTTTCCTGGCAGGGGTGCGGGAAGGGCTGCATCTAGTCACTTCTGGATGGCCCATTCCCCCTGCCTTACCCCCTAAAAATGTCTACACAGGGGCCTTTACTCAGCACTAAGCATAAGTGGAGGGATTGGCAATCTATGTGGAGAGAGAGGACAGATGCCAGAGAAGCAAAATAAGGGGCTGTTTTTATTTTTATTTTATTTTCTTAAAGACATTTATTTATTTATTTTTTTAAATATATTTTATTGATTTTGTACAGAGAGGAAGGGAGAGAGATAGAGAGTTAGAAACATCAATGAGAGAGAGTCATCGATCAGCTGCCTCTTGCACATCCCCCACTGGGGTTGTGCCCGCAACCAAGGTACATGCCCTTGACCGGAATCGAACCTGGGATCCCTCAGTCCCCAAGCCGACGCTCTATCCAGTGAGCCAAACTGGCCCCGGCAAGGGGCTGTTTAAAAAAAAAAAAAAATATATATATATATATATATATATATATATATATATATATATATATAAATTATTGATTTGTTTTACAGAGAAGGGAGAGGGATAGAGTTAGAAACATGGATGGGAGAGAAACATCAATCAGCTGCCTCCTGCACACCTTCTACTGGGGATGTGCCCGCAATCAAGGTACATACATGCCCTTGACCAGAATCGAACCTGGGACCCTTCAGTCTACAGGCCGACACTATCCACTGAGCCAAACCAGTTAGGGCAAGGGAGCTGTCTTTGTGTGTGTGTGTGAATGTATTTTTATTGATTTCAGAGAGGAAAGAAGAGGGAGAAATAGAAACATTAACCATGAGAGATAATCATTGGTTGGCTGCCTCTTGCATGCCCCCCACTGGGCATGTGCCCTGACCAGGAATCAAACCCATGACCTCCTGGTTTATAAGTTGATGCTTAACCACTGAGCCATGCCGGCCAGGCAAGGGGGCCGGTTTAAGCGCTGGCTGGGGTAGAGGCAGCTGGAGCAGGAAGCCAAACCTGCAGAAAAGCTGTTGGCCTCAGGATCACCACTCCCTCCTCACAGGACTTACCCTCCAAGCCTCAGTTGTCCCCTCCACAAATTAAAGACAATTCCAGCTCCTGCACAGAGGTTCATGAGGACTGCATGTGGCAGTGGCCAGAGAAGGCACAGACGCGCTTAGCTTGGAGACCGGCTCCTTCTCGGCCCTTTTAGGACGAGGCCCGGGCTGTTACATGTCACTCCAATTCCTTTGGCCTCAAACGGCGTACTGCTCGGAAACTAAGAGGCCCGGGAACTGCTCACTGACCTGTCCGCCTCCCGCCTCGCCTTCCTTTCAGGCCATGGATTACATACAGCAGTGGTGACCCAGGCACAGACCCCGAGACCCCGCTGGCCACCAGTGAGAACCAGGAGCAACTCCACCTCCTCACGGCCCGGCAAGGTCTGCACGCCAAAGGCCACTCCCTTCTGACGCATTCCAGAGTAAAAGATTAAATAAAGAAGGTAGCCAGAGACCGGGATGCCAGGAGACAGGCTTTTATTGGAGAGAAGGGTACCTCCCTTCTGCTTCCAGAGAGAAAGAGGCCGGAAGACACCAGGGGGTCTACTTTTAAGGGGAGGATAGGGGGCGGGACTTAGGGCACTCAGCGCGCACGCTGATTGGTGATTAGGGACCTAGGAACTTAGGAATGGGGGTGGGGAGTGGGCTTAGGGTATTTGGCAGGTTCTAATTGGTGGTTCAGTGCCCAGGCATGTCTGGCCGCGGGTGGGGTTTACGTCTGTTCATCCACTGGAGGAAGAGAAGATCTATCAGAGAACAGGAGGTAGCCCGGAATAAAATGATTTTTTTCCTGCAAAGACTTGACACTGGTCAGCTCTGAGAGACTATGAGGGGAAAGAGGCAGGAAGACCCATGGGGCGGGGGGACACCCATGGGGGGGATGGAGAGGGGAAAGCAATTGCACGCTTCTCTAGGCAAAGCCCGTGGGAGAACTGGCCTTACACTCCCAAGTCTCCAACTCCACCTTTTCTTTAGAAAAAAATAAAAGAAAAAGGTTAGAGTTGTGTTTTTTTCAGAGAGAAGAGAGAAACATCAGTGAGAATTGTTAGATCGAGGCAGGGGGAAGCCCAGAGCAGATGCATGCGTCTGCAAGGTAGATGGTGACAGAGATTACTGGCGCCTTCTTAGACTCCTGGCCCGGAGGCGGCAATTCCACACCTCTCCTGCCTTCCGCCCTCCCCCACTGAACAGCTGTATAAAACAAGTACCTAGGCCCCCCGTTTTGGCGTGAACTTCCCTGGCCCACCCTCAGACCAGCAATTTCACCTGGAAGCTCAAGATTAAAACCTCCCCCTTTTAGTCACTTGGACTCTGTGTTTTGTCTCCTGCGTCGCAAACCTCTCAAGAATCATTGAATAGACTGCTTCCTGCACACCCTTCACTGAGGACTGAGCTGGCTACCTGGGCATGTGCCCTGACCAGGAATCACACCGTGACCTCCTGGTTCACAGGTCGATGCTCACCCCCCGAGGCACACAGGCTGGGCTGGCCCTTTTCTTTAGAAGGATAGTGCTGTTGGGGCTTCAGGTTTATGACTCCCACAGGAGCCATCACACCCTCCTCCTGGCGGACGGACGCTTACTGAGGTTTGGCTGGGGAAGGAGGGATTGCCTCCCACCAGGGCAGCCTGGGGCAGCAGTAGGAAGAGGGGGCAGACAGGGAAGGACCGCTCCAGTCCGGTGTCAGTCCTGTTGAATGACTGATGAGAGCAGGAAAAGAGGCAGAGCTCGGCTTGAAGAGGAGCTATAGCCTCAGGACCAGGACACCACACCGCACCCTGGGAAGGGGAGGGGATGTCAGCCTTCCCAAGGAGCAGACAGCCGAGGGCTCCAAAGGCCCAGGTGTCCCCCTTCCCACTTCCTGAAGCTGACCCCAGGGTCCTCCAGCCTGGCCCCTCCCCCTGGGACCAGGGAGGGGGATGCCTGGGTCCTGTTATTGTGGTGACACGGCGTCCCCTGTGGTCAGGCTGAAGGAGCGCCTCAGAGCAGTGTGAGGGGAGCAGCCTGGGGGGGGGGCACTTAGGAGGACACAGACGAGGACTAAAGTTGGAAGGGGCCTTATAGATATACCGTGAGAAAGGGAGGGAGCCGTCTCTCAGAAGCCAGAAGGCAGGACCTGCTATCCAGGGGCTCAGGGCCTGGGGAGGACACCTTGACCAAAAGTCCTGATTTTTAACAAAATCGGGACTTTTTAAAAACGCCACGGGACAAATTGTTAAAAATCGGGACTGTCCCGCCAAAAGTGGGACGTCTGGTCACCTTAACCTTGACACACCTGGGACTTGAACAACAGGCTGAGATGGGACATGTCCACCAGCTCCCTTTCCCGCTCACAGGAGACTTCTTCTTTAAACATTAAGTGTAGTTTATTGACTGTCATATAAATCCTTTACACTTGGCAACCTATACACAGAAGCAGCCCTAGCCTGGCCTTCCTGGACCCCTCACTCTTGCCAGCGCCGCTTGGACCCAGTTACCCAGACTGAAAACGTGGAGACGGCGCAACTCTGTCCTTCCTCTTGTTCCCCAGCCCACCACTCACCAGTCCCCCTCTCCACCCATCCTCCTTCCAGTTCAGCTTTCCCCACCACCCAGGCTCCTCTCTCTGCCTGCCTGCCTGCCTGATAAAAATCGTAGTCACCTTTAGCGAGCAAATGCCATTTCTGCTCAGAAACCGCCTCCACTCGGAGCCCAGAGGGACCTGGAGGACCCAGGGCTTAGCGTCATCTGAGTGACAGCAAAGACCTGTCCCTGCTGCTGTGCTGTCTGTACCGTCCATGCCCAGAGGAAAGCAGAGGCCTCTGGGAGGGTGGGCCCGGGGCGGCCGAGCCCAGCAGCGCGGCCTGCCTATGTCTACTCGCCCAGGCTCAGGTTATGGGCTCCCGCCCCATCAGAAGCTCTCCTTCAATAAATAAATAAATGTCTTGTTAAAATGACTCTGGCTTTGTCTGTTGCTGTTTTTCCCCAATGGGTGCCAGGTGCCTCCCTCCCCTCCTGTGCATGCCATTTTATAAAGTTGCTTCTGCTGCGAAGAGAATAAACTGTTTCATGGAGGAGAAGCTTGAGCTGTCTTCCCAGGAACCAGGGCAGTCTGTAACCGGGAAGGATGTGGAGCCTCGGCTGATCCAGCTGTCAGATGGGCAGGGGGCACGTTCCCAGGAGAGAAGCCGATCATCACCGTCACTCTGTCACACAACGAAGCGGGGAGGCCCCGGCGAGCACCCGTGTTCTGTAAAAGACTGTGGAGATGGCGCTGCACGCCCCTGAGTCACTTCCCATCACCGGGTGGAGAACCGGAACAGAACTCATGTCTGTAGAGCTAGAGAAAACGCTTTCTCACATCCAGGCAGGAGGAAGGCCAGATCTGAGGAGCTGGGTGCTCAGAACAGCAAGGGTAGGGGCCACGCCAGGGACGCTAAGGCACCTCCAAGGCCTGGGGCCGCCGTAGGAAGTGTGGCCTTCCCTCAAGCCAGACCCAGGGCAAGGCCTGGGGCAGCCCTAGGAGAAGCGGCTTCTGTGCCGGTGGAAACCAGAGCGCGTCCTGTGTGTGGGGGTCGAGGAAGGTATGATGAAGCAGTGCCTCTCCTTTGGCCAAGTCACCACAGTCCCTCCTCGGGCAGCACGGAGTTGTGAGAGATGCAGACCAGGCTGGCAGGTGTCTAGAGTTTGGGGACAGCAGACAGGTCACGGCAGGTGAGGGACCAGCAAGTGAGGCGCTGATGTGTTTTCCCGGCAGTCCACGTACTCATAGCTCTGGAAGACCTTCTGCTCGGAATGGCTCAGGCAGATGTAGGTCAGAGTGCCCCTGGAGAGGAAGCAGGCTGTAGTTATGTCTGGGAGGAAGAGGAAAGCTCTGGCCACGGCCAGCTGTCTGGCAATGGGGGGGAGGGCGGTTTGGCTCCCTCAGGTCCCACCCTCCCTTTCTGTTCTTTTGTTCCCCACTCTGCTAAGGCACCTGAGGTTGCTGCCTCATCTGTGATAAAACGCTTAGGAGATAAAATGTTTATCCTTGACTCTCACACTATTAAGAGCAAGGTGGGACCTAGAGCAGGGGCTGGACCTGCTCTTCCCAAGAACGAACAGATTCATGGGGTCCCCTTGGATGGCTCTCCTCTCACAGGGGGAGGCCGAGGGGAGACTGGAGTCAGAGTGGGAGAGGGGAGCCCAGGCCTCCAAGTCCTACTTACTGGATGTGCAGAAGCACATGGTGGACTTTGATTTTCAGCCAGCTGCAGATTTTGCTGAAGGAGGGGGGGCGGTGGCAGAGAGGAGGAAGAGAGAGAGAAAGGGAGAGAAACATTGGACCATGTCTCACACTGAGTGGCCATCAGAGGGCTTAAAGACCTGCAAGTCCCATCCTCGTCACCTTCTAGGCTCCTTTCCCTCAGGGCCCCCAAATGCCACTCCCCCCCTCCCCACTCCCTCTAAGGAGTACTTCATCCTCATAGCAACATCACCCTACCAATCCCAACCGGCTTGGCCCAGGCACAAGCCGGACCCTCCTCCCTCAGCAGAAATTGACATTCATCTTCAGCAATTCACGCTAAAGAGCCCCAGGTCACACATTGTAAGGATTAACCAAATGCTAGCCTGTTCCTCATTCCAATCCCGGTCTAAACCGGGAGAGAGGCTGTAGGAGCCTTGCACGCTGCAGCCTCAGCTGGGAGTACAGGCCAAAGACTGGCGGCAGGCTAAGCAATCAGAAGACCTGGTGGGGATTAAAACCAGGTTTCCAAACAGAAAAGAGGCTGCGGGAGAAGAGGCCGAGGAGTACTCACACTGTGTTTTCATCCCAGATCTTATTGGCAACTGCATAAAACATCTGCCAACCAAATGGCACAGGGTCAGCCCCGACTCCGGCCGTCACCCCCGTCCCACCACCCCACACGTCCACACCGCTGTGGGCGGGGCTGGCCAGGGAGAGGGAGACACCTGTTTGCTGGCCAAAGGGCCGATGTCGAGGAGGAGGCTGGTGGACACCTGCCCCACCACGACGGACAGGTGCAGAACCTCAATGGTTAGCTGCGTCACCCTGATGGGGTAGTAGTTGCTATTGGAGATGTTCAAGATGCTCTGGGGATGAAGACGAGGAAAGGGAGGGGTGAGTGTGGCCATTCTGGGAAAGGAGAAGTCAGTTTCAAAACCCCCAAGCCTGACTGAGCCCCACTCCCAATATGGACCTCCGCTGCTGAGCACCAGTGCCAGGAGCCCCACTTGGGGGCTCTTAATGGTGAGGAGTCACTTTAACGAACACATTAAGCTGGCTCAGGATCCAGTCCCATCCTGCCCACCCGGGAGCCTCAGGCACGCCACCCCCATTACACCCTGTGATGTATTTTCTTGGGCCCTGATTCTGACCCTTCACTGTGGAGAATCCTAATCCCACACAATCTGGGGTTCAGGGTTGCCCCTGCTTCTCCCCAGGTTTCTACCGTGTTTCCCTGAAAATAAGACATCCTCCGAAAATAAGACCTAGCGCATGGAAAGATAAGACATCCCCTGAAAATAAGACCTAGCACAACTTTGGGAGAAAAAATTAATATAAGACACTGTCTTATTTTCGGGGAAACAGGGAGGCACCTTCTGGGTGCCCAGGATCACCACATTGAGCAAGGGCTACAGAGAAGTATTGCTGGGAAGGTGGGGTCAGAGCCCAGAGGCACAGCACCCACCCACCCACCCACCCACCCACCCACCTACCCACCGTTATGTTGATGTAGACAGCCTCGTCCAAGGTCACAGTGGAGGAGGAGTTGAGGCCTGCAGGCTGCGTGTCGATGGACCGGGGAAACAGGAAAAAGATGGTGAGGGAGGTGGTCACCAGGCAGACGAGCACTGCCAGGCACACGGAGAGCTCCCTGCGGGAAAGGAGGACCCAGGGGAGAGGAGTGGAGAAGTCTGACGCTTAAGGAAACTCAGACACTCCTCTCCACACACCACACACAAGGCTCCCCGCTACACCCCGTACCCCCAGTGTAGCCCCAGGATGCAGAGGGCCAGCCTACACTCCGATGTGGCACAGAGCAGGGAGGAGCTCAGCACCAGGTGGCACGCAGCTGGGCTTCCATGACCAGCTCTCTGTACCCACTGGTCCAGTAACTCTGGGCAGCCCTAAGCCTCAGTTTTCTTGTTTGCAAAATGGAGATAACTGTACTTACCTCATAGAATTTGATATCCGCTAGTGCATGACAAAGCACCAATCCCAGGCCCTGCCACATAGCTAAAGCTCAACAAACCTTAGCTATTACCACGGGAAAAAGCCAGTGCACGTGGATTTTGAGAGTTCTGAATATTCAGAACAGGACACCATCTGCCATTGAATTTAGAATTGAGATGTGCCTTAGAGAGCACCTTGTAAGTGCTCTGGTGTAGTGGAGGGGAGGGCTGGGTGCTGGCTCCAGACTGAAGCTGAGAATCTTGGGAGGAGCCTGCAGTGATCCTGTCAAATGGATCAGATGATGATCAGGGTCACGACACCCCTAACCTCGGCCTAGAGAAACTCAGGGCTGCCTCTAAGGCTCTGAAGTGTCTCCAAACAGGGAGCAGCTGGTTTTCCATCTCTACTGGAAAGAGAACAAGCACGTCTGAACTGCCACAGCGGGGGAAGCTCTTAGGAAAAATAACTTCCCCAAACCGATTGCAGCCAGGACCACTCCCTCCCTAATGGAAGGCCTTGCAGAGTCAAGAGGTTCTCTGTCTTCAAAAGGGAGCCATGGCCCAGCCGGTGTGGCTCAGTGGTTGAGCGTCAACCCATGAACCAGGAGGTTACGGTGTTGTTTTTTTTGTTTTTTGTTTTTTAAATATATTTTATTGATTTTTTTTTTTTTACAGAGAGGAAGGGAGAGAGATAGAGAGCTAGAAACATCGATGAGAGAGAAATATTGACCAGCTGCCTCTTGCACACCCCCTACTGGGGATGTGCCCGCAACCAATGTACATGCCCTTGATCAGAATAGAACCTGAGACCCTTCAGTCCGCAGACCGATGCGCTATCCACTGAGCCAAACCAGTTTTGGCGAGGTTACGGTTTGATTTCAGTCAGGGCATGATCCCCAGGGTGGGGCGTGCAGGAGGCAGCCAATCAATGATTCTCATCTTTGATGTATCTATCCTTCTCTCCCTTTCCCTTCCTCTCTCTGAAAACATTAAAAAAAAAAAAAAAAAAAAAAAAGCAGTTGAAGAAGAAAGCAAACACTAGATGAATTTGTCAAAATTTAATGCAAAAAAAAAAAAAAAAATTGGGGGGGGGGGGAGCCATGTTTCTTGGAGGCAGTGATGCTCAGAAGGACACCAGTGGCTTAGGGTAGCTATGCCCGGGGTTTCTGAAATCAGGAAAATCCTCAGAAACGGGGCCGGTACCTATGAGTGCACTGAAGCTCAGGCGTTTTGGGGGAGAATCGATGGAGAGAAATCTGGGGGGAGGCAGATTGGGGTAGACAGAGAGGAACAGCCCCAGGGCGACCGCCTGTGGAGCTGAGAGGTAGGAAGAGGAGCTTACGTGTGCCTGGGCTTCAGCCTCTGGTCCCCATAGGGGATGAGGGCCACCAGCTGCCTCTCTAGTTCTGTAAAGAGAAAGGAGTGAGAGGGCGGGCCCAGAGGCGTCCATGACAAATGCCTCCTGTGCCAGTCTGCCAGGAGCACCCCTCCACGCCCCAGAGCCACGTCAGAGGCATGCCACCTCTGCCCCTCAGCAGAACTGGGAGCCCTGCTCTCTATTGCTGACGTTTGCCATCGCCAGAACGAAAGTGAGGTTTTTCCTAAACAGATGTGAAGAATCTCTGGCATTTCTTCATCAGAGCCCAGCTTTCTCTGGAGAAGCCGTTTGTAACTTCCTGAATCCGAAGGCACCCTGTAGCTAAGGGGGCAGAGAGGCTGGGAACTCCAGGGGCTGGGGAGGACGACCAGGGCGGGAGGGTTAGCATCTCCCTGGCCAGCCCTACCGTGGGGGACCAAGAGCTGGGAGACCCACCCCCATTCAAGGATCGTCTCAGAGGCTCCTGGCCACGGGCCCGCTGACTGCCCAGAGCTTTGCCTGGGTTGCAGGCTCTTTCCAGAGCCTTGAGCCACTCACCTCGAGGGATCTCCTTATTGCCCTGGCAGGTGGGACAGGTCACGTAGCTGGCACCAGCAGCCCTTTCGCAAGGGGCAGAAAAAACCCTGCTGCCACCATGGCTGGATGAGTCAGGGGGTAGGATCGCGGTGTTTTCATCCTCCTGAGCGCCCAGCTGGGAGAACGTCTCCCCCATCTGTTGAGGGGGCCTTTTCACTAATGAGAAAAGAAGGAAGCTCAGTGCTAGCTCGTTCGCACTGATGGGGAATGTCAATTTGGTTTGAGGTTCTCAAGATCGGCAAGGAGTCCCACCACCCTTTCTGCAAGCTCAAGCCTAAGCTAGCTAGGGTGTAGGACACGGAGCAGTGACACTGGTCTCTCCGGGCAGAAATCTCAGTGCATTTCCAACTGCTTTCATTATTGTAGGCACGCTCAATCTGCCCACGAGGGGGAGAAGAGGAAGTTATTTCACTTAAAGGGACTTCTGTAAGTGAACAGAAGTTCCTATTTTTTCCTGGAAAAGTTGCTGAGCAGGCAATTCACTTCAGGGGTAGTAAGTTGGGTGAGGCAGGGGACAGCAGTCAGGAAAGTCCCTTCTTCCTGCAAATGACTCTAAACAGGATGACTCTCAGGAGGATTCCAGAGCAGAGCACCCGGGCAGAAACGCCTGAGGTCTCCCAGCCCCGGGGGTGGAAGGAGAGCTCCCGGTCCTGAGCCTGGGCAGGTGCAGGCTTTAAGGCAGGGATTCTTTGCGGTAAGAGAGAGGGGGCTAGACGGGCCACAGGTGAGGCGAAGACCCCTAGCATAACCTGGAAGGGAGCCTAAACCTCTTCCTCATTGCCATCTGAGGCGGGGTCAGAAAAGATGCGGCGGGGCGGGGGGGGGGGGGGAGGAGGAAGGAGGGGTAGAAGCAACGCCAGCACCTGTCCTTCACTAGGAAAGGCCAAGGCTAAGCCAGGTTCTGGCCCCCCAACCCGAGTGGTGGCAGAATGAGTGGGCAGGAAGAGCCGCACAGCCCTTCCTGGGCCCAGATAACGGGGCCCCTCCTGGTCCAGCTCCTCTCAGCTGCAGATTTGGGATTGCGTCCGGGGGGAAGAGGGCTTGCAGGGCAGGGTCGTCCCGGAGCCACGGCGCCGGGCGCCTTCCGCAGAGTCCCGGGGACCCAGTGCACCGCGTTGGGGGGAGTGGGGAGCTGCTCCCGCCCTGCCCCGGAGGCCACTGGCCGGGTGGGGTGAGGAGCGGACGGAGAGGCTGGCGTTTCATGGAGGAGGGAGGTGACGGCCCGCCGGACACCCACAGAGGCCGTTGGCCGCGAACGCCTGGCCCCTTCCTCCCAGAAAGAGGGTCCCGTGAGCGCCTTACCCGCGGTTTCTCGGCTGAAACGGCTGCAGCGGAATAGAAAGTGCGGAGCCGGGGCCCGCCCGGCTTTGACGCGGGACCTCGGAGGCTCCGCCCCGCCCCTTCCGTCGCTCCCGCAGGGCCCGCCCCTCGGACCCGCGGCCGGAGATGCTCCTCACTCAAGCCCAGCCACAAGGACAGCCAGTCCAGGTAGGTTTTTCAAATTACCTTTATTTCACCATTCTTTCCAGCACTTATGTACAAGTACAATGGGGCGGACGACCGCGCCCCAGGGCCCGACAATAAGACTCAGAGATCAGAGCAGTCCCGCCCCACATCAACCCCACTGATTACACACACGCAGCCGCTCAGCCCAAGCCGGATAAAAACGCTTTAAATAATGGTCAGCCTGGCTGGCCTGAACCCTGGCTGATTAATTAGCATTCGAGAGTGATACTGTAAATAAACATCATTCTGTTAAAGTCATTCATTATAGCACCAACCAGGTTAAATACTATTTTACTATCCTTCCCCTTTTGGGCTGCTGAGGTTCTTAAGTCATTTTCTCGAATATATCGTTTAGTGTTTTGTGGTAACCTCTTCACCAACTGCACCCAGGACTTGGGAGAACACACAAGCCACCTCTCCTGTCAGGGACAGTTTAGACAGCACCACCTTGGACTGCGTAAGCCACTGAGTTGGCTTGCAGCTTCCCTGGGGCCGAATCTTGAACCCCAAAAGCCAACCCCTTCCTTTGAATTAGCCAATCGTGCAAGACTGTGCGCCTGAGCTCCAGTCAGGAGGGACGGGTCCCATGGACAGAGATGATAAAGCTGAGCAGACCACCTGCTCCTGTGCAGGTGCTTCCCGACCAGGTGTGCTTACCCTTCTATGTAGAAGTAAAGGTATTTGCTTTGCTGCCTGGCTCCCGAGCATGTTTTGTGTTCTACCATGACTCACAACTTGGGGCTTGCCTTATTTCTGACTCTCCTGTAAACAAAGGGATGACCTGCACCCATAGCAGCAAGTTCTTCTCCACTCATCCTGGGGTCAAAAACGCTGTCCCATCTAAGTTTTGCAAAACACCAACCAGCCTCTCTTTTCTGTTCTGGATTCTAGGGCTAGGTACCCTTGAATAGATTTTAAACCTCCAGGAAGTCATCAGGATTTCCTATGCCTCACACATACTCATTTGCCCACCCTTGAACTTTGCCAAGATTAACACAGGAGCCTGCTTTTCACTTTTCCTGTTTCTACCCGCCCCCCTCCCCCAACTCTACTGTAAATAAAATCTGCCCTGACATAGAAAAAAAAAAGTAACTGTTAAATTTTCTTTCCCTTTAATATAAGTTTTTTATTCCTCTATAGTGGAGTGGGGTGGAATGTCTGGCCCTCGGGCCTATAAGGCCAGAAAAATCATTTGGTCTGGTCCTGCCATGGCATTAGGGATGAGTTACATGTCTGACCAAATACAGCAGGTTAATTTTTCAATTGACGATTTTGTATGGCCCGAGAATGTTATAAATACCCAAATGGCCCTTGGCAGAAAAAAGGGTCCCACCACTGCTCTGTAGGATTAGCAAAACATTTCACACTACCTAATTTTCTCTCCCTTAAATAAAAGAAAGATGTATGTAAAATTACAACAGACACTGCTCAAAAGGTGCTGGTGGTTTAATTAGCACACTCCCCTCTCCTTTCACTGAAGTGTAGAAACCCAGTAGGGGTTCTTTAAAAAACAACATGCCAATTACTAAGTCTCCCAGGAAATTACTTTCTCTTTGAGAAAGGAGGAGTTAACATTCCTATCATGCTCTGGGTATCATTTTAATACCACATAGCTAAGCCTTGGGATAGGATAGAGAAATTGTAAGTAATTCTTGAAAACAACTTTCAGGTAATTTCTTTTTATTCCCTTTCTTTTTAAAAAAAAGTATTTTTATTCATTTCAGAGAAGGAGAGGGAGGGAGAGAAACATCAATGATTAGAATCACTGATTGGCTGCCTCCTGCATGCTCCCTACCAGGGATCAAGCCCAGGATCTGGCATGTGCCCTTGACTGAAATCAAAACTGCGACCCTTCAATCTGCAGACTGACACTGTTATTCACTGAGCCAAACCAGCTAGGGCTCAGGGTGAATTTCTTTTAAAAACTGACAATTAACATATAACTCCATACAAACATCAGCATTAACCAAGAAAAATACTCAACTTCAATACAAGCAAAAGAAAAATGGTATAAGAAGTTCAAGTTATACTCTCCAACGCACTAAAATGGAGAAAGGAGTTTTATCCAAATCAACTGAAAAGCTGTCTTTTTTTACTACTCATTCAATATTTAAAGTGAAAATTTACGTCTGGTCTTTGATTTGCTCCAAAAAATAATGTAATACAGGTATTGTCTTGACAATTCAATGATGGGCTCTAGTCATATTCATTAGATTAAAAAATAAGCAAGGGCTTCTGCCCCACACCCCAATGACAATAAAGATCATCTCTGAGCAGCAGGCAAAGTTATTTAATACATGGTCACTTCTCAATAGCGGTGGCTGTACCAGTCGTTGTTGTTGACCTGAAGAAGTTCTGTCACAACCTGCAGGATGTTGTGGTTGTGTTTCTTCAGCAGCCTCAGGTTCAGCTGCCGGTCACAGAATCCCATTTCAAAGAGATGGGCCATCAGGGCTGCTGTCTGGTCTTCAGAAACTATTGGCTGTGAGGAGTCAAGAAAAGCAGAACATTTTCTGTATATTTACATGTTATCTTGCAAGTCATATTAATCTTTCCAAATTTATTAAAAAATATTAGGTGGGTAGATGCAAGGTATCTGTTTTGAATTAGGTATAGTCTGGCCTTAGAGCCAGGAGAAGATGCTTCAGAGGGGACTTTCAGAAGGAAGTATTCTCTGGCCAGATGAAGTAAAAGATGCAAACTCTGAAAATAAAGGTACTTGTGAGGATGGGACAAGTATAAGCAAGAGATGAGAGTGTTACTGGAAGTTAGTATGGGAAATTTAATTAGATGCAAAAGAGCTGCAGAAAAAACTGCCTTGAAAATTATATCCTAGGTGATCTTTTAGGGTTTTATTTTTATTTTTTAAGAATAGAAGTGGCAGAAACCGGTTTGGCTCAATGGATAAGAGCGTCAGCCTGTGGACTGAAGGGTCCCGGGTTTGATTCCAAGCAAGGGCATGTACCTTGGTTGTAGGCACATCCCCGGTGGGGGTTGTGCAGGAGGCAGCTCATCGATGTTTCTAACTCTCTATCCCTCTCCCTTCCTCTCTGTAAAAAAATCAATAAAATATTAAATAAAGAATATAAGTGATCCAGGTCAGAGGGGGCTAACATTCATTTACTCCGTCTTTAGGAAAAATTCTATGGTGGACACAACCTTATTAAATCCTCCTAACACTTAGAATACCCTGACTCTAACCATTTATTTACTGTGTTGGTATGTATCAATTCCCTTCTTTATGAAAATGGAGGTACAGAATACATCCCATTTTGCAGCATTGAAAGGATTAAGGTGAGAAAGTATGTAGATGTGTTGAACGCATTTTTTGCCGTTTCCCTCTACATCTAATTCCACTGTTCCCTTCATGCATCCCTCTTCTTTCATTTCAGAATTATCCATTCTTTTTGCCAAGTTAATCCTTCCACATGGACTTTGTATATCATTAATTATCACGAACTCAGAAATCCTTTTCTATTAATTATCCTCTCTCATCTTGACTCTGACTCTCCTTTGCTACTAGCTAGCCCATCTTTAAAAACATTTCCCTCTGACTTAAGTACCCTAGCTCTTACTCTCGTTTTTCCTTGGTAGTTCAGCTGTCTTGAAAGTGAGGCATTACTGCACTGCCAGAGTCCTTTCCACCTGTTCACATTTCTCTGCACATTTGAAGCTCTGGCCAGGTCTTACTCAAGCTCTAGCACAGAACACTCCCATTTACCACCAGGTTCTCAGTTTTCTCCTTGAAGGGGCCTTCCTTTTTCCCCATGATCTTTAAAGGCTGCTTCTTGCTTTCCCGTCTTTTTGGAAAATCTGATCCAATCACATGGCTCTTGCTATAACCTGTAAACAAATGCCTATCTCCAGGCCAAATCTCTCTGTAAGACAGGTGTACATTCTCAACTGAATTCGGGATAACTTTACTTGGATGTGCCTCAAATTCAGTACTACCTAGACTGATCTAATTTTCTTCTCCTCTTGCTCAAATATATTCTTCCTGCATATTGTCTCTTAATGAATGGTACTATGTATTGCCTAAGTCAGAAACTTTGGGTTATACCTGACTTATAACCATTTAATCATAGTCTCTTAAGAGCTCCACACATGTTTTTATCAAAAAAACATTAGGTGTTTTTCCTTTCATCCCATAAGAAACTTGGTCAAAGTCATACAGCTAAAAAGTGGTGGAATTGGGTGTTAACCAAAGACTAAACCTAAAGCTTATGCTTCCTACAATGCCATGCTACTCTCCAACTCAGATGACATAGTTTTCATTGATGACTTGGATTTGGTTCTGAAAATAAATAATGCACTGACCTGTGCAGTGACTGGTGGTCCAGCAAACAAGGCCTTGTATGCAGAAGCAGCAACTGACAAGGCCCCCTTCACCAGTCCCCCAGCAATGCTGCTCCCATGGTGGTGGTGCCTGTGGAAGAAAACTGAATTATCTCTCCCAAAAGCACAAACCATTACCTTCCTACAAGATAACCTAAGTTCTAATCCTTAAAAGCAAATGAAATTTCCTTGAGAAAAAAAAGTTGTAAAAAAGAGTAAGTTTTCTTATCAATTTTAAAGCTATAAATCTTGGTTTGATGTAGAGCCCAGCTCTACTGCTGCAAGGTATGGGCACTGCAAAAAGCACACCATGCTAATTAGCATGCCAGCTTTCAGTCCCAGCTGAAAATGAATGTGGACAGGACACTGTGGGGTACGGGCAGTGTCTGCTCAATCACTCAGAGAACCTCCCAAAGGAAATGGGAATGTTATATGGATACTAGTTGGGAGGAGCCCACCCTGACAATGCTCCGAGAGGACTGCGAGCAGAGGGGCAGGTGTGTCTAGTTACTAAGATGCACAGTGGGCCTGACCTTCCTGCCTTCTCCTCTGGTGCAAAGGGTG